TATATTTTTTTTGGGTAATCTTCAGAATAAGAATCTGATGCTCTACTATTTAATAATTCTTATTATTGAAAAATACAGTTTATGTATAAGAGTTTTGTAATTATGCTAAAATATTGTGTCATGCATTGATTTCAGAAATGATAATTTTTTAATGGAATACATTTCTTTTATATCTCAACGCATGATGTAAATAAAAATGCTCTCTTTATAATAAAACATGTGATCCTTTTTTTTAATGCCAATACGTCTACAGAGCAGAATGGGTCGTTATTAAACAGCGCACATTTTTATCGACTGTCTAGCTGTGTTCTCATTAAACAGTTCTTCATTCCTCGTTATATCGTTCGTTTGAATTGTCGTCATTTCTTTTTATTGATTATCGATATGTCTGCAAAACGTTTTAAAACATTATCTGGTTTTTTGACAAATGTTTCGCCAGTAAAGGAAGGAAAAAAACAGCACAATTGGGCTGAAGGGCACATCCAAACAGGTGGTAGTACCGAAGAAAAGGTCTTATTTTTCTTCGAAAAGCCGAAGGTATCGAGTTCTCTTTATGAAAATGCATTATCGGCATGCAATAACAAAACAGCTGTTGCTGTCTCAGGTTTATCCGAAGATAAAGATGGTAAGTGCTTTTCAAGTTGATACTACTTTTGAAGAAAACTGTGATGCTTATATGAATTACTTATCGTTTATCTTTTGACACGATACAGATTTTCAATAGAACAATGACTTGAAGAGCAAAAAAGAACATTTTTTTTATAATTTTTCTCTGCTATATTTTCGCTATTTATCATTATTGATTAGTCGATTTTAAATAGACGTTTTTTTTTTGTTGTAATATTTGTATTATGAGGAACAGAATTTTAGGAACAATATTAATTGATTTCTGATTAAAATTATTATTGATTATATAGAATAGCATATAAGGAACAATGCATCAATTTGTTTATTTTTTCTTTTCTAGGAAGTTTTTTAACATGCCGAACGAGTGAAATCAAACCTCGGCAGGTAACATTTAATCGACGTGAAATGACTGATACAAAAATAGATCTTGGATCGGCTCTTACTACTGCACCTTCATCTGATGATACGGTTACGATTTCTGGTCGAGTAGTGAAACTCAATCCAATTACGTTCATCATGAAATATGATAATGTTACTCATCAAAAGGTAAAGAAAACATATCGTACTGGTGTTGTTGCTGATTTAACTGGTGCTGTTATGGTGATGCTTTGGGAAGATATTGCAAACGATGTGAGTTTTTTTTTTGCATTCATGGAATTTAATCAATTTATTCTATAAATAGATTCGTGAAGATAGTTCGATTACTTTGTGTAATATGCGTTCGACAATTGATGGTAATGAGTTTTCATATTTTACTACTACTTTTCGAAGTGAATTGAAAAGTAAGTTTTTTCTCTATTCCTGTAGTCTGATGAATATTTTTATATCTGAAAAAATCTTTTATTGTATATAACTTATATTGTAAGTACTTAATTTGAATTCTTTTAGATTCACTTGAATCATGTGACGATTACGATGAAGATGCTGCTGAAGGTTTGATGAATCGTGAATTAACACTTTTTCAGGAAATAACATGTACCATTGATTCTGTAGAAATCGAACTCTTTATATGTCTTTGTAATCAAGCATGCTCCCTTCTGTGATCATTAATATGTTTCTGTTTTCGGTTGAGTAGTAATTGATGATATTTCTATCAATCATAATCTCAGTAGTTATCAATATAAAAAAGTACCACAACAACATTTATTTATTAAAAGATTGATATTTATATGAAGAGAACAACAAAAGAATAGATCTTCGAGTAAATGAGAAAATTTGAACATAATAAGTAGGTGTATCGTTTTGTTACAAGCTTTTAAGATAAGAACTCTTATTTTTTTCTTTTGTGTTTCATGATTGTTATCATAAGGATTTTCATTAAAATTAGAATCGATTTATAATGATCATAATTCGGATGTTGTTAGATTTTTTATCGACTAACAATAATTATAACTCAATCAGTGAAATGTGTAATGATGAATTGAAAATATTCACGATTAGTACCTTTTATTTCGTTGTATTTTATTATATGTAACTTAAGAATGAATATTCTTCCTTTTAAAGAATAGTCTAATGATGTAACAAAGTATAAATATTTTTGAAGATTCATTAGAGAATTATCCAGAATTGTAATATGAGATTTCTATATCAATTATCATTACCTGAAATTTATACATTATAAGAACTGTTGAATTCTTTTGTATTGAAAATATTGATAACAGATTGAGATTTTTTTTTTCTATAGAACGATTTTGTTCATTCTACTTTATTTCATGCAGCACTTTAAAACAAATTCTTTTTCATATTGTATTAATACAAAACAAATAAATTAATACATTTATTTTTATGTAAGATGAATCAAGTTTTTTTCTGAACAAAAAAATGTAAATCGTGCTTTAGAAATATTTCTTCTTGAACAAATAGCAAACAACAATCATATAAAGATCTAATAGAAATTTTTACATAGACTAGAATAAGAACATTTTAAAGTTAGTTCAACAAGAAAAAATTTCTTAGGTAATAATAACGTTCATAAATTTTGTATAATCCAACAGTAACAATGTAAATTTTGAATGTTATTTTTGATGATATTTTGCGGAATGAATAAACAGTTTTAATCTATCAATAGAAATAAGTTACACATAAAAAAAAAATAAATATCTTACAAAGCGTCTTGAAAAAGATCGGATTCATTGGTATTCATTTGTTGATTGTTATTCATTTGTTGATGATTATTAATTTTATATGGCTTTCTTATTCTTGAGTTCATAGGCGGATCCTTCAGTATTTCGATGGAGACAGCTATTTTTCCTTTTTTGTCTACGATAAAATAAGAACAAATAAAAATAATTTAATATTAAATACTCACTATTATTTATTTGGAATTTACAAGTATCTCCAATATTGATACTACGTACTTGTCGATAGTTTATTACATTACTTTTATGAAAAAATAAGTCATCACATCCATAAAGCGCTCTCGATGACCTGTGAACAAACAAAAATTAGTTTTAAAATTTTTTTTACTAAAAGAATACATTTTAATAAATCCAAATTGTCGTTGACGAAAATATTTTACGATCTCACCGACATAAAATGTATTAGTTCGTTTATCTGTTGTTGTGTTTTTTTTTCTATTCTAGGTAAACAGATAATTATGAATAAAATAATCAAAATTAGTGACGTTATACTTCACATTCTGGTTCATCAAATACAATTGTTTCTTCAGAATTGTGCGTCGTGTTGTTTGACATTATGAATATTTGTTTGATATAAACCACACTATAATTTGTAAGTATAATTTATATTTTATTAAACAGCTGGATTATACGAAATAAGTCTTATCTAAAAAAAATATCAACTTTATTATTTTTCGATTCATTCGATAGTGACAAGGCGAATAAATGAAACGATAATAAGACTTAGAATGTTAGCATCAGCTAAATGATAGAAAAGCGCCAATACATAATTAAATATATATATGTATATATATACGTACTGTCTCTTTCAGAATTTTCATGGATAATGATCATATATTCATTGATTTAAATATTAAAATCATAGAAATTATGTGTTCATAAAGAAACAAATTACTATTAAAGAGGGAGGAAAAGTCTATTAATTAAATGAATAACGTTTTTTTTTACCCAATTTTGATTGTTGATATTTCGATAATGATTAAACAATACTATACAAAAATGTGGCAATATCAATATAGTATTCAGATATTGGCAATCGTATTCACGTCTTATAAGAGTTAAATCCGAAGATTTTGGAGAACTGAATAAGAATCCAAATTCTTTATCGTGAAGAATCTCTGATCAAGCTTTGTAAACACTCATTATTTCTGAAGATAACCTGTGTTGAATGAACCGATTAAAACCACAAATTCTATGAAACTAACTTGAAATTGGTGGATCTAATTTAATAAAAAACTAGATATGATCTTTTGGGAAAATGGTTTCTCATGAAGTTTAACGAACTACCAATACCAGTATCTTGGTTTATTCCACTTTTCTGATGAAATATTTCAAACACTTTCATTAAGTATTACTTCATATGGTGAAGAAAGACATCCAAAAAAAAAGTCGATGAAAGTTCTATTAACTTCTAGATTCTGGTGCAGTTTTTCACGAGGAATCAGAATATGCCATTAGTTTGATGATCCAAGCGACAAATGATGATATATCATCAATTTTTCGATACTACTACGGCCAGTCTTTTATCAATCTATCGAATACCACGTGGGCAATCGATCTAAATTTCACTTGTTTTGTATTTTTTATTTAATGAGATGTGTTTTGTAGTTACTCTATACACAAAATATCTTGAGTATTCGATGACTTCAATTTAGTTCTGAATTAAATTATGTTCGAAAAATTCCTTGAAAGAACGAACGATTCGAAAAATAGAAGAAAATGACTTTACTGAGTAAGACATACCGTTTTGTGCATTATTGCTCGACAAACCTTTTGTGAAAAAGCTGAAGTCTGTGCGACCAAAACCAACAAAGATGATATTAGTGAAATATTGAGGGTGAGATTTATTCTGGGATATCTAATAACATGATTTTTTTATTCTAAAGAAAACCTTATACGATACTTATTCTATATTAATCAAATTAAAAAAAAAGATTTTTATTTTAACACAAAATTATTATTATTATTTTAACATAATTCTAAAATGAGTACGATAAAAGAAAAAATGAATAATATTAATTTGTTCTATCTATTTTAATAATTGCACCAACTAAAATTTTTTTCTTTTTATTTAAATTTGTTTAACAGGGTACAGCTGTTTGAAAATATCTTGTTTCTTTTAATGGTTCACATCGTTTACCAGCATTACGTGTTCGACGTACAGGACTACGTGTACGTGTTTGTATGGCATCCTGTCCACAACCTGTACATGGAGGCTATGTACTCCATTGGGTTGCAACACAATCAGTTAGTGCTAAATAAAATGAAATAGAAAAAAAAAACATCAATAAGAAACATATAACTACATACGACAAAGGTTTAAATAGCATGGTTGAGTTTCTTCAAGTGGTAATGATTGACAACGATGTTGATCAACGGCTCTATGATTACTTAATAATGTTCGTGTACGACGTCGAATACCATTACGACCACATGTTACTGAACATTCACTCCAAGTAGCCATTGGACATGATAAATCATTATCTAAAATAAAATACAGATGATATTTCACTATGTTGTGGTCGATCATTTGGACAAGCTACACCTTGTACCATAATTCGTTTAATATTCAATTTAGCAAATGGAGGTGGTTGATTGCCTAAACAATGAAAAAAATAAATGTTAACATTTTTTTTTCTTTTTATTGCTTTTTTTAAGCTGAATTCATACCATAAAATGATGATCGATTATCTGTAATATTACTTGAAACAATTGGTGCAATTGGTTTACGCGAATTCTCCGGTCGTTTAGGACCCTAAATAAAATAAAATTTCTCTTTTATTCTATTCTAACAATAAACGAAATTAAATTATAATTTACATCATATTGAATGCCTATATCTGTTCCAGCATCAATTGGATTATGTAATTCTTCATAGTTATCTAACCATGTACAATTTGGAAGACATAAATCAAGAACAGATACACTTATAAATAATAACAGTAAAAAATAAAAAAAGAAAGAAAAGAATATTGAATTCTTATTAGATTCAATAGATTTCTACCAGTAATCCAATTAGGTGATGGTGCAAGCATAGTAACACATGATAATAAATGATAATTTCTTGAAGTTGTAAAAGCACCTGCAGTTGATTTGCTTATATTAACTGTTCAAAGACCAGGTACAATTATCAAATTACGAATAACACCAAATTTAGTCTAAATAAATATATTATTTTTCAAATTATTATTTAAAAAAAAATACAAAGAGATTTACATGATTTTTTATTTCTTTTTGCATTGTACCAATTGCTCCTCATTCAGCTACTTGTTTAAGACCATCGCTTGCAATATCACTATAATTCAATACTATTTAAAAAAAAATTATTAATTAATATATATATATACTCCAAGCAACAAGTAGTTGTAGCCGGTATTGGTACTTTGACTATATGTTCAGCATAAGAGCATAATCATATATTCTGATAGCGCTCAAAATTAACTATAACCTTGTGTGTTTGGTATAAAAGTTACATTGAAGTGTTGAAAAATATTCTAATTATGGTAAAGATACTCTCGGCTTCAATATTTTCACAAAACTCTTTTTCCATTCTCACATTCCAATGAATAGTATTTTATATTTCTTCAAATGTTTTCCTTTGTATAATATTTATACAGCCTCATACTCCATAGTAGTAAGATTATGACTGAAAGATGGACAACTATTCATACATAACAAAAAATATATATACTGCATTTGTCTTGCTAGCAAATAAGAGCAAGTCAAGGCTAACAAGATACAAGATGTTAGAGAGTTTCATGCATTATCTGAATGTATAATTGTTTTTTTTCAAATAGATACTACCATACTCATTACAGATTTGAATTAAAACCAAAGAAGTCCCAAAAAAAGCAGTTTATGCAAATTTAAAAACGAGAATGTCTTCATTGTAGTCGGAATATTTTTCAACAATTCAATGTAAGTTTAAAAATTAAATATACAAGTTTGTAGAGAATTTCGAGCACCAGCAGAATATATCATTATTCTATTATGCTGGAGATATATTTAAAATACCGACTATAACTATTTGTTTCTAGATATATATATATCATTACATGAATATTCTTCATTATGAACAGCTCCAATGATATCAAACCAATGAAGATGTTCTAAAAATAAGAAAAAAAAATATATCAAATTTTTGTAGAAATATTTCTACCAGGTAACCAATCTTTTGGATATGATTGTTTTGACCAAAGACCTTGAAATGTAAATTGAAATTTAGCTTCATCACATGCACAACATGGATAAGGAGGTCGATGAACTGCTTTTGGTATATCTAAATTAAATTAATGTATTTATCTTTAAGTATATTTTTTTTCTTCATTTAAACTAACTCATCATCATCATTTCTTTCTGTTTATCGTTCGACTAATTATTATCACACTCAAGTGTACATTGTTGTTGTTGTTCCAAATGTTCTGTACAATGTGCAGCCATAGCTGCTCGTTTATCTGCATACGTTCTTGTTCGAATTTGTGTACCTGGTCGATGACAGATAGCATCCATATATGATGACCATTCACTCCACATTTAAATAAGACAACGTGGATCATGAACCACTATTATAATTCAAACAATTGAAATAAGAAAAAGACGGCCATGAGTCTTAAAAAAAACCTATACTTGAATTATGATCTTGAATAAGTTCATCACATATAGCTTCACATTCATCTTGTGTTATAAAAATATTTTCATTACCTATAAAAAAAAAATAGATTTAATAAACACGCAATAAGGAAATATTTCATCAATATCTCTACATCCACCATATTGAAATTTTGAACATTTATGTGTTGTTACATTAAAATAGAATCGATCAATAAATTTTGTACATGGACCTGGTTCAAGTGGTTGCATAAATTTATCTACATACACAAAAAACAAAAAAATATTTT